TTCAACTCCCAGAATCCACCAGCCGGCATACTTTAAAATGGCTGGACGTCAACTCCCAGAATCCACCAGCCAGGGTTTGCTTAATAACAGCAGTGTTTGTTTTATGGCCACTGCATTCACCTAACAACCCTGCAAAAAATGGTTGCAAAATCAGGCACAGTCCTGCGTGTGGTGATCTTCACAACTTACGACCAAAATTGCCGGCTCAATGACCATTATAAGTCCAGGAATCCCTGTGCCTTCTACTTGGCAAAGTGGATGGATCAATTATTCTGCATTTAGTCTCTCCCCAACCCGTTGCTGAGATAGATTGGGTATTCACACATTCTCATGCAGACCTGGGTCTTGTCTTGCTAATTGGGGGGGAGGGGGTTGAGGGGTGATGATGTTTTTCTTCCAACCTGTTTGGGGGACCCCGGGTTTCAAGAGTCCCACTTTGCAATTTTCTGATCGTTTTCTCGTCTTGTAAATCATTCTGCTGCTGCTGTTCTCCCTCGTCTTCTGTAGATGTTTGGGTATTTCCTTGGCACTCTCTCCTTGGTGTTGTTTTACAGCCTGCAGAGGGTAGCCCATTTCTCTGTGACTCTGTGAATAAATGCTCTCATTTGCCAGTACGAAATGCACCCCCCCAAAAAAGCTGTGAGGGTTTCTACGATTGTCCTCGTGAAATCATGAGCCTTGAAAATAATCCGAAAAGATTTATTAGAAGAAACATGTCCAGCACTAACCCGTATGAAGCCAACTCTGAGACACGTAATTTACTATCACCTATGACCCTATTTCCCCCCACCACACCTGGGTGTGTCATAAATCAGATTCTCCAGCGAAACACGTTCACTGGGCTGGGTGTCATCAATCACATTCTCCAATTAAGGGTCTTCATGGGCAGAAGATCCAGTAGGCTAGGTTACAACATCCACAAGATCAGCGTGGAATGTGCTTCTGGCCTTCATCTGCCTCACTCCTGTCTCAGGCCAAGGCCATTCCCTCATGCCTTCTTACGGCAATTCGGAAACAGGCATAGGGAAGATTTACGAGTTGACCAAAGGAGGTGTTCCCTTGAAATGTAACACAACCCTAAAATTCTGGGGCCCTGGTTGATCTCTTGAGCTTGGTGACTTTCTTGCAGACCTTTCATGACCCAAACTAGGCAACCCTGTCAGTGCTAGAAGGGAGGGGAGTTTGTGGAGAGGAGGATTATGGGGTCCTTGTTGCTTTCTCAGCTTCGTGGTTTTCTTGCAGATGTTTCATGACCCAGCTACATAAAATCATCAGTGCTAGTGTCAGGATTCTGGCAGTGACCCCCTCATTTAAATCATGAGTCTTGAGCCAAGCTTCCAAAACTTCCAAAGGATTTATTGGGAGTTAACATGCTGGCACTGCCTGGGTGTAGCCGACTCTGAGACACATCATTCATTGTCACCCTTGACCCTGGATTCCCCCCACCCCCTGGGTGTATCATAATTCATATTCTCCAATGGGACACCTCCATAGCCAAGAGGACTCAATCAAGCTCTCCAGTTAGATTTTAGCACGGCAGAAACTTCAGTCACTTAGTTACTATCTTTGAAAACATTTATGGAATGCACTTTTGGTTTGCAAGCTGGCGCACTGCTCCCCGCTCCCTCCCTTTCTCTTAACAACTTTAAAAAGACCACAGAAATATTTTATGAGTTGACAGGTCTCTTTTCCACCCCTCCCCCCACAGGATCTTTGGCTTCCCTCTCCACTACACCGACGTGTCCAACATGGGTCGTCATGCACGTCAGAAGCTGCTTGGGAGGTCGTGGAGCGTCCCGGTTATCCGTCACCTCTTTGCTCCCCTGAAGGATTATTTTTCCTGCGATTAGGCCGCAGGGATCCTGCGGTCTCCTGGGTGGAAGGAGAAGAGCCAAGACCCCACCCCCCGCTCCTTGACCGCCCCCCCTCCGTTAAAGGAGGCCTTCTCCGCAGAAAAAATTATTTTCTATCCACGCCTTTCTTCCAAGCTTGTCCGACTTTTGCGTTTCCGTTGTGCCAACAACAACAACAACAACACAGATTTTTTTTTGGGGGGGGGCGGGAAACTGCAGAGAGGTAGCATTCACCCCTTGTCTTGTGCGGATGAGGAAACTGAGGCGGCTCAACCGGCCGCGAGAAACAATGCGAAAACTTGAAACGGGAAAATGGTAGGATGTAACTCCAGAGACACCCGTCTGTCTGTAGCAATGAGCCAGCTTGCCTTGGGTTTTCTCCCACTGTTCGCCCCGCGGGGGGGAAAAAAAACAGGAAAATTTCTTATTTTTTTCTTTTTAAACTTTTTTTTTTTTAAGAATGCAAAACTTTTGTGTGTGGGGGTGGTGGTGGTTTGGGGAGAGACCTTTATAGCCATTTCGCAGCTGGATGTGAAAATTCCTAGAGAGGACGCAAACCAGGCGACAATCGTCCTAAATGGAACAAGATGGAAGAAGAAAGAAAACGAACCGTGCCATACACCCGTTATACTTTTAAATTTACACGATGCCTTTTCACGCAGGGAAAAATGCACTGGGGGTATTTTACGACAAAGAACGCATCTTCCACTTCAATTTACGCTGGCTGGGTATTTCTTTTTTTTTAAAAAAGAGCTGTGCAAGAACATTTGCACAACCATGGTCCTTTCAGAGGCAGGGAAATTCCCAGCAGGGCAGCGGAGGAGGAAAACGGGAAATCTACCAACCCCCCCGAAAAAGAGACAATCTACAAATGTTTACTGCGGTTTGGCCTTCGCTCTTTGAAGAATCCAACCCATTGCAGAGAGGAAAAAATGGAGTTTAAAAGCTGCTACGAGATTCTCTCGCCCTAGAGGTGCCCTTTCCATGTTGGGATCCCAAGTGGGTTTCCATCCTCACCGATGCTGCTATTTTCATCGTGAATTTTGTTTTCCTTGACTGTTCCGTTCTTCAAACCCTGATTTCAACAGACCAAGATAAGAATTGGGTGGGAAGAGTACCGAGGAGGGGATAAAGGCAACCCTGGGATTTGGTAGGGTCTTTTTTGGGCTGGCGCAGTTGCCAATCCGAAACTTTGCCACGATTTTTCGCAGTCGCCATTCGCACGTTCGCCTTGGCCGGCAGGCTGCACATCAAAGCCATCCTGCCGTAACTCCGGACTTCCCAGTGCTTGTATGAACCAAACCACGAAAATCAGTGCAGGAGACAAATTAACGCTCCGTTTTCGTTCTCTGCAACTGGGATGTCTGTCCAAAATTAGAGATATTTTTTTCCCCCACCGATGAAGCAAACCCTCTTAGACACATTGGCAGAAACGGTAGAGGGGTGTGTGTATGTGCCATGTTACTCTCTAACTTCCAACTTGCCATCACATATAGGAGGCAGGGGTTTGGTGTCTTGGCTTGGTTGTCAAGATTGCCAAAGTCCCCTCAGAAAAAAATAAAGACTTTGGATTGTAGATGGTCGATTGTTAGGGAAGTTTTCTCAAGTCAGCCGCAGAGGAAGATGGGACTATGGTCAAGAGCCATCACTGCTCCAGTTTGGTACATTTTCCCCCTGCAGGCAAATGGGAGCAGTGGTGGTTTCTCTCTCTTTTTTTTTCTTTCTTTAGTTTTCCTTGTCAGTATTTGAGGTTGCCAAAGGACCGGCACTTCACATTATCCGACGATGCACCTTCTGCACACTCCAGAAGGTGTCACCTTAGCGGCGGGCGTGCAAAATGTGTCCAGCTCTAAGCGGGTTCTGTGCCAAGAGGGATTGCCCAAGTTGGCTCTCTGCCCACCTCTTTTCTTTGCCCAAATGCCCGCTGGCAATTCTCCAGCTGCTGCTGGCATCCCAATGGATCCCATTCCCGTAGGAATGACGAATCTCAGGAAGTTCCACTCAAAATGGACGCCAGTAATTTAAGGGCGGAAGGAGAGATTTCCTTGGAGGTGTGTATGTGTGGTGTGTGTGTGTGTGTGGCCTTCCTGAGCCACTGAAATCCCTGCCCAAATTGGGTGACGTTTGTGTGTGTGTGTGAGAACCTATGCACATGCCAATGTTGGTGATAACCTCTGGGTGTGAGACAATCATTACTGTGTTTATATGTTAGGTGTGTTTGCTGGTTTGGGAATCCTTGGTCCCATGGGAAAAGTCTGCATGCCAAAAGGGAAAGGAATGAGGTCAAGGGGGAATTCTGCAGGGCCCCCCCAACCCCCCAATTTGGAGGGAGGGATTAAGGGGAGGGGGTTGAAAGCGTGGGGTGCTTGTAGCTAGCCATTCGATGTGCCTTCTCCTTGTCCTTCCCCTTTCCACCTCCTTTGAAGGGTGTTGCAAATCTTTCGTTTTTGGTCTCCGGCAAGATTTCTATTGGATCCCTTCTGGTTTTTGAGAGAATATTAAAAATCGGTAATCAAAGAAAAAAGATCTTGCCTTCCTAAAAAGTAATGCCTTTTAACGCATTTTAAACTGAGAACATTTCAGAAATGTCATTTCCAAGATGTTGAAAGGACCTCTGTAACATTGGTGCTATGGTTTTTATACTTTCCTAACGTCAAAACGATATGCTTTTATATAACCTTTTTTAAAAAAATAAAACACTATCCTTTTTTTCCCTCTTTCTTTTTTTTAAAGAGCTTCTTGGGACTGGAGCTCGGCCCCAAAATGGATGGCTGTAAGTGAGCCTTACTAAGGGTGGGGGTGAAAAACATCCCCTCCCCATTTTTCTTTGGTGTCGTTACTGCTGGAAACGAAACGGTTTTGACATGCGTTTGCCTTTAAAACATTTATCACGGTTTAATTAAAGTCAGTGTTTTTCTATAATAGAGTGTGGCCCGTTTTTATTTGTGTGTGTGTGTGTGTGTGGAATTCGTAAATGGCCCAGAAGATACGGACGGTGGGTTGTGCATCCACTTCTGAAGATGAGGTCAAAGCCTTAGGGGAGGAGTGAATAAAAAACTATGGCAACTTTACAAGTTGTGGACTTCAACTCCCAGAATTCCTGAGCCAGGTGGCTCGGGAATTCTGGGAGTTAATGTGATGACCCAGAGTGTAACACAAAGGTAACAAAATCCAAAACGTAAATAAATATCCTTTAATGCCTCCAACTTGGCCCCACCGTTCAATAATTCTCAGTTGGTGATAAAACGTACTCAAAAATAGTCTTCGAAAGAAAGCAACGCAGTCCGTACTCGGTGAGCAGACAGAGGTGAAATAAAAATCCCAAAACAAACTACAATGAAGGGATTTCCACAATGGACCAGGATAAGTAATTACCAAATTCAAGGAGATAAGGCAGTCTGTTGGAAGGAGGCCAGCCAAGACTTCAGACCAAAATAACACAAGCTTTGCTTCTCGCAACGCTGTGTTGCAAATGTCTTTTATATACTAGTCTCCCCAACTGCAACCAATGAGGAGGATCATGGCCGCTTCCTCTCTCGCAAGCCAAGTTGTTGCCTTCTCTGTTCCTCCCTGCGTGTCCTAGGATACGAAGGGGATGGGTCTGGTTCTCCCTCTGACTGCCCAGATGGCCTCTGCCTCCCGAGAGCACGACCATTGAAGTCCACAATGCGTAAAGTTGCCATAGTTGTTCAACCCTTGCTTAGGGGAGGGCATTGCCCATTTCTGTCCTTCCTAAATTTGAGTTACGAGCGTTTGCAGCCTGAGTACAATTATGAGGACACTGGGCCGTATTTAACAAAATGAAATTCAATGTGGAGAAAAGTAAAGCTTTACACTTAGGCAAGAAAAACCCAAAGGACACATATAGACTGGGTGAAACCAGGTTCAAAAGCAGGAACTGTGAGGAGGATCTTGGAGTCTTAGTGGACAACCAGCTAAATAGGAGCCAATGTTGTGCAGCAGCAGCCAAAAAAGCTAATGTAATCCTAAATTGCGTTAACGGGGATACAATCAAGATCAAGGAAGGTACTAATACCACTCTATAAAGCCTTAGTAAGGTCACACCTAGAGTCCTACATCCAGTTTTGGTCACCACGCTACAAAAAAGAGGTTGAGACTCTAGAAAAAGTGCAGAGAAGAGCAACCAGGATGATGAGGGGACTGGAGACTCAAACATACGATGAATGGTTGCAGGAACTGGGCCTGGCTAGTCTAGGGAAGAGAAGGACCAGGGGAGACATGACAGCAGTCTTCCAATATTTGAGGGGCTGCCACAGAATTCTCCAGCCAGCTATGCTTAAAAGTTGCCAAGTTTGGGGACCTCTGCCTTAAATCATCATGTTTGCCTTATATTTCCTGTTGCCATTTCAAATTTACCTCCCACCTTTTCCTCATTGACTTACTATTCATGCCATCACAACCTATCTCAAGCATCTAAAGTTAGCACATTATCTCTGCCCCGATTACATCTCCCATTACTCTAATTCTATCACCCCCCCCCCCTGCCCTCATTTACAAATCACCTTTTATGGGTCCTAGCTCCTAGGGGGTTGTCTCTAGAGTAACTATCTATCAGCAAGTTCTGTTTAATGCCGGTTTGTAGCATAGCACAGGCCTTCCTACACCCAATTCTCAAGCTGCAGCCTAGCTCATGAGATTAGAAATATATACAATGTTTTTTTCTTCACTGGCCAGCATGTCTTCTTACAGTTTCTGTTAAAAGCAATACGCTCTGTTTCCCGCAAATAGGGTAAGTAATAGGAATGGGATGGAATAGAATAACAGAGTTGAAAGGGAACTTGGAGGTCACCTAGACCAACCCCCTGCTCAGCACAATTTGATAAAATATTTCTTACCATTATTTGATTCTTCTTCAAAAAGTGCATCTCCTTTTCTAGACTTGGGGACGGCCCAGTCTGAGGTAGGCATTGGCATAATGTGCTAAAGCAGCACAGATCGAAAGCCTCCTAGCTGCGTTATTGAATAAGAAGGATGCTAAACTTGTGTAATCTGTATCCATTAATTCGGCGGTTTCATCAGATGCAGCCTCCAGGCCTCTTTACTTAGTCTGTGTAGTGAAATAATTTTCAACGTAGCTAGCTTTAAGATGTTGCATGGGAGTTGGAAGTCCAGATATCTTAGAAAGCCGCCAGGCTGATGTGTGTAGTG